GACAACGTGACTGCGACTACGGGCAAAATGCTTCCATCTTCCAACATCAGCCCCGAACGGAGGGCGTGAAACCCTCCAGGCGGAATGCGATACGATGGTCAAAGTTCCTGAGCTGGGGCATTCATCCTTGACCAGCTTATACTACGAAGAATCCCAATCCTCTTTGGTAGTACCTCAGTCATTTCCAGCACCTGATCGAAATCAGTCACACCTACGGGAGTATGCTTGGCTGAAGGTCTTTGATGAAGTTTATCAGCTACCATGCCTTTATAAGAGGTCAGCCATTTGAAGTGAGTACGTCTACTGACCTGCTTCTAGATCAACACTCTGTGGCAACATCAAGCGATGTCTGTGAAGGTTCAGCGATGCAGTGGCTTTTTCTGAACCCAGGAGTCAGATCGCGTCGCAACTGCTGACCAGCACTGTATGCCCTGGCAAAACAATCAATATGGCATTGACACACCAGGTATGGAAGACAGATATGTTGTGTATGTTTAGAGGACTACATACAGATGGCTGCACTGAGATCACGAGGAACGCGCTACTACAAGGCAATTAGTTGGACGGTTCCTTATTTGAAGGATGGCTTCATCTGGTGCAACCAGGAGTCTTTTCTGTCTGTATCAAGTCATAACTAAGACGAACTAGCGCATCAAGTCACAACAGCAGCTTATTTCTACAGAAAACTGAAGTGAAGGAGGCATACCAGGACTATTGCTCTGATGAGTCTGAAAGGTCAACTTTGAAAACTGGTGTAAACAACAGGCTTGAGAGTTTACGGTTCTGATTCTGGAACCTTAGTGCTGGACATACATTTCCTGTATCTTCCATAATTGAACTCTGTTCAGGAAGGCAATTTCAAACTCTTGACTCTCTCCAGAGCTGATCTCTTTTCTTTGCGAACAATAATGTTGAGTATGGCCCGATGGCTGAATTCACCTTCAGGGCATGATGTTTGCCTTGATAACAACATCCAGGGTAGCGAGGGTTCTACAATGGAACTCTGTTGTCCTAAAGACAGGAAGAAGCTCTCTGCCATTGCAATGGATCAAGCCCATAGAACAAAACAATGCAGTGATTAAAAGGCGATGGAAACCAATTAGGTTTGACTGGAACCAACAGCACTATAGGTGGATGGTGGCTGGACCTAGAAATTTAGTCGTCTTGTTGCTGGATATGAAGCTTCGTCCAGGTGCAAAAGATGGAACCACCACCAGCACCGACATCAAACGAACCCTGAGTGCACAGAAATCTTTCTTTGAAGGTGGAAGCAATTCAAGACTGCGGAGATGGGCAACCCTTCAAGAGAGTCATCTGACTTTCTGGCGTTAGACACAAGGAACGTAGAATCCAAATATTGCTAAATGGTTGAAATTACACACCATGACCGAGAAAAAACAATTCCAGTCATTGTTAGAGGACTAAGAATGAAAACAAATGTACTGTTACTTCCATCAATCAGAAAAAACAGATCCTCCTTCTTCAAACATGACCGTTGTTACCAGTCCCAAAGTTATAGATGACTGTCAGCTGTTCTTGCGACTCTTCATCTCCAGTCAGAACAGACAATGCAACTTGCAAAATTCTTCAAGCATGAAGAACAGATGCTCCTGCTCCCTCAATGACAAGCTTCATACATGTCAGAAGTCACAGCTGGCTTCCTTTAAGCACAAGTGAATGCTACAGAGAAACCATGGAGATGCTATCATCATAGATGGCTCAGCACGATCAATGCCCTGCCTCACGTACCTCAGACTTGATGCTATGCCAGAAACATCCTGCCCAAAGTGGAATTCTATGGTGCCAAATAAAATAGGAGATGGATGTAGTGTTTGATCGACATTGCAAAAGATCAAGTCTGAAATCTGAAGCCAGGTCGAAAGAGGACAGGGGATCAGGAGGAAAGTTACAGGAACCAGTGAACTCCCAAAAACTGGGCTTTCTTTGAATGACAAAAACAAGACAAGAACTATTCCAATTTCTCGCCGGAAAATAGTAGTAACAGACGACAAAACACAGTGGTTGTGACAAAGATGCATTAGCAACACAAGAGATCCTAAAGCTGTGAAACCATGCTGTCATGAGAGCAGACACACGAATATTAGTGCATGCTAGGGATGCAGCAATGGATGGTAACCAGTCCTCATCATCAGCCAGACTCGACACTGTCGTGGTCGTCTATTGTACTGCCATCACTACAACTAGCGGTCTTGATAACATGTTGGTTTGCCTTTATTGAGCCAGTCATCGATGGATTCAGTTCATGATGTGGTTTCTGCGATAGAGACTAAAGCTAGTGGGATCTTTGCATGCTTTCACTGGCACCAGCGTTGTGTGTGTCTGGCACCAGAGTGGGGAAGAAAAATCTGCACGGCTTGAACATGGAATGTCTTAGCGATGAAGTTTCAAGCCTTCACTAAGCTCAGCCAGTTGATGATGTTGACCTGCAGAAGCTGGAAAGATTTGTTGTCTGTACGACGAATCTGGTGCAGACACTGGTGTAGATGAGGCAGAACTAAATCTCTTTTTCCCTGGCCAGAGACCATATGACTCCATTCCACCAACCCAGAGCAGCCTCCAAGGAACATGCAGCAGGCTGCCTTCCCAGGCTGTATCATCTGGGGCCAGGCAATAATCTCCAATCCAGAAACCGGTCTGTCAGCTGGGGATGGACGCAGAAGGCATGGCAGATATGTTGGACAGATCTTCCCTGATTGCATAGTGCTGTCAGGAGCTGACCAAATGTTCTGTAAGAAAGATTGCAACCAAGAGATTAAATGTTTTTCGCTCTGGACTTTCCTACACATAGCACTTTGCAGCTGCGCTTGTCGTGAACAGCAGTAAATGCACAAAGATGTCAGGAAGTCTGGGAACCAGTGCTAATATTTTTAGTAGTTTTTTCTTATGTTACACTAAAGTGTTATTTTATGTGGATAAAACATATTTACGTGGACTTAAAACTATAAACAATCATCTGAGCATGCTTGAAAACATACAGATCGACACCAAGATGATCAGATTGTCCTTCATCAGATTCTATAAGAGAAAAATCAACTTTGTGAAGGTCAATAAGGCGTACATCTTGAAAAAATGGCCGCCAACAGGTTTTAAATGGAAAACATTCAGGCAGACTTGACTGGCATCATTATAGAATTTTTCATGCTAAATTTGGTGGAATTGTATCACCATTTGCATGATTCTCTTGAAATTGCATTTTTGCTCCCCACTATATTGGGGCCTGATACTCTCTCTTCCAGGAGCTTCTTTAGCCAAGATCCTCCCAGCGAGGTCAGTTACTATACAGACGGTCAAGATAATACCATTAGTTGGGAAGCTTGAATGTGGTCCCTACTACAGATATCTCTTAGATTTTTGAGAGATGATGTCTCAGAATAGCTCCTTTTTAAAAGTGTTAACTTAACCCTTTAATGACTCTGATGGGTGGTAAGTGGATGTTTCTCTACACTCCCAACAAATATTTTAGGTAGGCCAAATTAGCTATAATTATATTTAATATCAGCAAAAATAGGGAGAAAAAATAAGATTATTATTACTTCTTTCAATAAATACACTTAATCATATAACATCGGCTATATTAAATGACATATCATCGGCCCCCTACATTTAGGAAGCGAATCCATGACAAAACAAAGTCACAGGAAAAAAGTCAAAGACCTAACGTAACCTGTCAATAAATTGATGCTTTTAACATTTCTTTTTTGTTTCATTACCAGCTTACTTTGTTTAAGATATTGAGTAAATTTATTTTTTCAAATAATAGTATTAATAATCGGCTTAAAATATTTTTTGCTGTATTACTTGATTTGTTTATGGTATTTAAAATGAAATGCGACTTTTTTCCCAAGGGCACCGACTGCCAACTAAGGATGCGGCTCGATCACTTAAGATTCTAAAAAAAAGGAAAGAAAAAAATGCAGCCACCTGCATAGCTGGAGGAGTTCTTAATTAACATTAGTTTTACAGTGCATGAGTTACTAAACGTTACAATTACGTTCCAAGTTTTCAGTTGTAGAGGAGTTTGAGAGACCTTTTTGTTAAATGTTAATACTAAGTGATTCCTCATTGTTATAAGGCGGTTTAGGATCAGTTCTATAAAAAAAGATTTTTTAGTGATGTTAAGGCATTTGTCTATAAACGATCTAGGGTATTTTAAGTTCAGTCCATTATTATAGTTATATTTTATATTCTTCATCAATGATGAGGACAGTAGACATGACAGCCTGATATCTTAACAACGGGAATTCTATCAGGAGTGAGTTGCAGTGTGGCTGGGTGGATTAAAAGGAATAAGTTGAAGTGATTTGGCCGTTGTTCAGAGAACGTGGAGTGCATAGAAAAGGAATTTGAAAGTGAGGTAAAAGACAGGGTGGGGAAGAAGAAGACCATGTAGAGTGAAGCAGTATATAAACGAGATATAGGTTAATGGCAAAAGGGGCGTGTCGCAACAAAGTAGCCTGGAGACGTTTCTGTCATGATCATCCCTTGTTGGTCGGGGGCTTGAAATGCATAATTGCACTGATGCAAACTTTTGTTACGAGACAGATGGGTTTGAAATTAAATTTTTTGTGAAAAATCACCTTTAAAACAAAAATTGTGCGTGGCATCCACCCACAACTATTTTCTTTTTTCTTAAGTAGAATTGATATAGCATGGTTAACTGCTATTAACACGTCAGTGCAGTAGAAGTTGGAAAATCCTATGTTGGCTGGTCCACTACTACCATTGATCACCTGTTGTACAATAAACTCCTAACTCGTTATAACTTAACCAGCTAACGGGCTTACAATACAAATTACCAGAGTTTCGACTCCCATATTTATTTTAATAATCTAACTAGAAACTGTCTCACACAACGTTGCAGTAGAGCTCTGAACAAGAATAACTCTTCTATATGATGGGTGCTGGGGGCCTCGCGTAATAATCATATGTAAACCATCATATGTGACGAGGGATAATACACTTGTTTGTTTTTACGACGTGGTAGTTCAGTCCCTCTCTGAATTTCTGCCGGGCGGGGTGGTGTTGGGTGTCTCATCCGTTCAAACTTCATCTGTGTATTTTTTTAACGTAAACTAAAATCAAGATTCTAACCCACGTTACATGGTCTTCAAAATGGCAAGTAAGAGATAGCTCACTTTAATATTCGAAGGTGATGACAAGTGAGGTAATGACTAACATTGTCTTTGTACGACTTGTTTTGCTTTGAATGAATTCGAGGTGATGATACTTGCTGTGTGCTTTGCATATGCCTCTCACTGAGTGTTTACAGCGGCGCTGTGTATCAACTTCTTTCTTTTCACGGATATAATTCGGCAAGAAGATTTTCCGGCCAGTTAGTGTCTTCACTCGAACAGATACTGGCTTGTTAAGCCTGTCGACATGCCATCTGACACGGGATATCTCTCCGACAGTGTCGGCCAGGCGTGCCGGATGAGTTGCACATAGGGAGCATTTACAGTACCATTCGTTGTCTGACCAGTTTCGCGCACATGGTAAGCTACTTAGTGGAGTATGGTGATTGTTTGTGAGATAAAGAAGAAGAGAAGAGTGAAGAAAATAACATTGTGGTGCAAACAGTAACTTCTTAAGAGGCGCTCCAAGGGAAGTTTTAAACACATATTTAATGAACTTGAAACGACTAATAGAGAGGCAGGATACTAGATTCAGAGAGAGTATTTCGGCAGGAGCACACCTCCAAGCTACTCTTTGGTATCTAACAACTGGATGCTCCTATAGGTATGCAACATTCCATGCGAGTTTCTAAACAAAGTCTGAGTGCAATCATTCCTGAGACATGCCAAATTATCTACGAAGTACTCAAAGACAACTAACTACATGAAGGCAAAGAATAGTTATGTATAATTTGAACAAGTGGCAAGTAAACGCGATTTGGCTAGTTTGAAATGTTTTACCACTAATGTAATTGTTTACCAAATAGCATTCTAGCTAGATGTAGGATAGATGATTAGTGGGTCCCATATTTGTGACCTGACTTAACATGACTATTTTTTTTTTACGGGGATTAGCCCACCCGGGCACAGGTCACTGACCCACATTGGGGCCTGGGGGGCGAAAATGTAATAATAATAATATTAATAATAATAATAATAATAATAATAATAATAATAAGTAATAGTAATAATAATTCACGATAAATACAATTTGTGATAAAACAAACAAAAATAAAATAATAAAATAATGATGATAATAATACAGTAACTGTAATAATAATATTAATATTAATAATAAAGAAATATAAATACAAAAATGAAAAAGCAGATCAAAAGTGAGAAACGATATATATATATGTTGTGTTGTCAATGGTAAGAGAAACAATTGAGACCCTGCAATTGCGTGTAAATGAAGCAGAAAGTCAGATCAGCAACCTGGGACTTGGTCACAATTTTCGTGATGCCATATAGTGGTGTTGGTGTGCCGAATAGTATATGTCATGTTTGTGACCTGACCTCATGTTTAGTAATGTCACCCTGTACTTAAGCCTCTCTCCGTCCATGTAATTCAGTTGCCTCTGAAGATGTCTTGAATAAAGGCATAAAGATATGTGTATGTATAAAAAAACCCAGGCATTTGGTAATAGCTATATAGCATTGTTTACAAAAGAGCCATCCAGCACAGTGACAGTTGTGGCGTTCGGCAGGGCGGCCTGATCGCGTGGTGATCGAACACCAGAAAAACGGTTATTGATCAGGCACGAATACGGATTTGTGTGGGAAGGTGGCTGTTTAACAGTCAGAGGGGGCGATATATCGACAGGCACTCATAAAGGAAACGGGGCCCTCCGGGAGAGAGGTCTTGGAACTTGTGGCCTATCAGTTCTGGTAAGTGTACAATCAAAGACAAAAGTTGTGTCGCGGTGTTGTCCGAAGATTAATTATAACTTGTGAAACATTATGACAGCCTTACCACAAGGCAGAGCACACCAAAACTTTTAGCTCTTCGGCATATGTTTTCGCCAAATTTCACGACACGACTTTTGTCTTTCATTGTACATTACCTGACGTATTGGGCAGGGGGAGGGGAGGTGACGGGTGTTGTTAGGAGGGATATGGTGGATCACTTCCATGCACACAAACCAATGTCTCGGGTCATGTCTCGTTTCATGCACAACTAATACGAGGTGGCTATAACTGCATAATTATGCTATGTTGAAAAATATTTATTCAGATTATTGCTCATTTCTCAGTGATAACGACGGAGAAATGAACAATAATCTGAATAAATATTTTTCAACAGTTTTCACCACCGAAAATTTAAACATGATACCCGAGGTACCGACTCTGTTCAGAGATAGTGAAGAAAACAAATTAAGCGAGATAGTTGTGACTAGTAACGATGTTAATAAGCAAATAGACAAACTGAAGTCTAATAAGTCACCTGGTCCCGATGAGATATTTGCCAGAGTTTTAAAGGAATGTAAGGAAGAGCTTAGTATGCCCTTCGCAAAGTTGTTTAACATGTCATTAAAAACAGGTGTAGTACCAGAATCCTGGGTGGATAGCGAATGCAATACCGATTTTCAAGAAGGGGGATAGATCACTATCCTCTAACTGCCGCCCAATCAGTCTAACATCAATAGTAGGCACGTTAATAGAATCAATCATCTCAAACTCTATTCGAAACCACCTGGAGAAGCACAAGTTGATCAATGATTCCCAACATGGCTTCACAAGCGGGCGTTCATGCCTAACTAATCTATTAACATTCTTTTCATCAGTTTTCGAATGGGTGGACGAATGGCACAATTATGATGTGGTATATCTCGACTTTAGCAAAGCCTTCGACAGAGTCCCCCACGAAAGACTAATTAGAAAGGTAGAAGCGCATGGCATCAAAGGTAATATCCTTAAATGGATTAGGGCGTGGTTATGGGACAGGAAACAGTGAGTGAGCATCAACGTCACTAAATCGCATTGGAGCAACGTCACTAGAGGAGTTCCCCAAGGCTCAGTACTTGGACCATTATTATTTATTATATACATAAACGACATAGATATCGGCATAGACAGCAACATAAGTAAATTTGCTGATGACACTAAAATAGGACGTGTAATTAAATCTGACGAGGACTCTGCAAAACTACAGGAAGATCTAAACAAATTTTTCGAATGGTCGGAAAAATGGCAGATGAAATTCAATGTGGACAAATGTAAAGTACTCAATTTAGGAGATGTAAACAGGGAAACCAGTTACCAGATGAACAACGATGCCATTGTGGAATCCGACTGTGAGAGAGATTTAGGAGTAATGATAAGTAGAAATCTTAAGGCAAGTAAACATTGTGTTTTTGCTCGTAACAAGGCTATATATGCTGATAGAAAATTCATTATTTTTTACATGTTTCTTCTGTATTTCCGACTAGGAAAACGTAGTAATTTGAATTACTTTTTTTGTTCAGTAAAATATTTCAGACACTCTTTCTCTGTTTCAATTTGTTTAATTATCAATATAAACTGACATTTTCTCAGACTATATCCACTTCATGATGCAAAGAACATTTAAAATTGCACGTTAACGCTGTTATTTCTATATGAAATTACTGAATATGCGGTTGGCGGTTGTTTGTGCTTCACTTTCGTCGTATGTCCGTGTTTGTTTACATTATTTCAAAGAGAGCCATATCATCACATGGGGGGGTGGGGGGGCGCTGGTCGAGTGGTACCTCTCTTGCCTCTCAAGCGGAAGTTGTCATGGGTTCGATTCCCAGGGCCGGCGGAAGTTGTTTGGACACTCTTCCAATTGTTGGAGCTTCTAATAACATCCAACAATCTATTAATTCAACAGATATTTTATGTAAAAATATATACAGAATCTTTGTAAATTATACAGAAAATGTTTGGCAACAATATAACCAGTGAATTTTCTGTAAATTTTATATGATTGTTTTAACAGTGTAATAAAGTACTTGGGTTCATACAAAGGAGTGTTAGTTACAAGACTAGCGAGGTCATCCTAAAACTGTATCTTGGGCTTGTGAGACCACACCTGGATTACTCAGTTCAATTCTGGTCACCGTATTACAGAATGGATATAGAATCCTTGGAAAGAATTCAGAGGAGAATGACAAGATTTATCCCGGGCATTAGGAACCTTGAGTATAGAGACAGGTTAAGGCATCTTAATTTGCACTCCCTCGTGAGACGTAGAGCGAGGGGCGACATGATAGAGGTGTATATATGGAAGTCAGGGTTAAACAAAGGGGACATTACAAAGGTACTCAACCTATTCAACTAGGAGCAAACTCGTAACAATGGTTTTAAATTAGACTAATTTAGATTTCGGCGTGAAATAGGTAAACACTGGTTTGGAAACAGAGTAGTGGATGAATGGAATAAGTTCCCAAATATCATCATTAACTCGAATACGCTGGATAGCTTCAAACATAGGTTGGATGCTTATATGAGCAATAGGGGTTGGGTATAAACGGGACTGCCCAATATGGGCCAATAGGCCCGCTGCAGTTTCCACCATTCTTATGTTCTTATGTTCTTATGCACATTGTACGCGAACCCGGCACACAGGTCGACACCAGTTGAAACCAGTTCTGCCAGGGTACCACACTCACCTGTGGCTGTACACTTGTGCAGCCACGTTGGTCGCCTTTTATTAGCATCAGTATCGGTGACATTATAATGTTAAGGTATAAAATACACAGTCAGCCACGCACACAATTCTTACAACACCTAAGTATCAGGAGTCGAAACGAAACAAGAGAGATTTATCTTTTAAAAGCGTTATTTGATAAAACACGGGCCTAAACACCTTAGTTGTTAATATGCAGTAGGTAGTAGGTATTAGGCAGCTACCAAACAGGGAGGTACTGCATCCTGGGAAGATATTGGAAGCATAATGTGTTGTCTTATGGCATCACAAAAATTGTGACCAAGTCCCAGGTTGCTGATCTGACTTTCTGCCTCATCTACACACAATTGCAGGGTCTTAATTGTTTTTCTTACTTTAACAACACAACATATGTATATACAGTGTAGGCACTGTCGGTGTTTATGTAGCAATATGTGGTCCCGTAAGAATGTCATGTAAATTTTTTGCACCATGCATAATTTTAAACCGTGGAACCTGTAGATTAAGAAAATATATGGT